GGAGAGGTATTTTCTTGCTTTCCCATATTTCTTGTGGTCCTGCGGTGATTTCTAGTCATCTGATAGAAAGTGTGTTTCTTCCCAAACTTGAAGTACAATCTGAGCGTCCAGGTGTGTGCAGAAAAGAAAACAGAGAGAAACAACAGCAACAAAAACAACCAAGAAACAGAGAAAAAGAGAAGGAAAAAACTAAAAAAAAAATTATTATTTTTTTAAGAAGCAAAAATTAGAAAACCACACAGCAAAATCACTAGTTCTCAGGAGCCATGAAGATGTCTTCTGAGGCCTGCTCCCTTGCCTCTCCTGGGTAGGGAAAAGGAGAGGGGATTATTAACAAGATAAAGGGAAAGGAAGGGCTGAAAGCTGAGAAAATGCTTTACCTTAAAAAATTTTAAAAAGGAAAAATTAACCAAAAAATGAGAAGACAGAGACAAGAGGTAGAGAAAGAGACAGGAGGCTTGAAAGTCTTCCTGCCACTCGAGTTTGTGGGCTGGAGGCTGAATTATCAGTGGAAAATCTTTGCTTATTCCCCTAAAATCACTAGTTCTCAGGAGCCATGAAGATGTCTTCTCGTCCAGTGTGTTTTTCAAGCCAGACTGGGATTCAAACCACAGTTGACCATGAAGCATCCAGCTCCCTATGCACTGTGCCAGTAGACTGGCCCCTCATTGGCATTTTGTCTACTGAATTTTATTCAGCTTATTGACATTAATTTAGAGAAATAAGCATTTAGTCTGAAAGGGCCTGTTTATTTTTAAATTTGCCAGTAGATGTATGCACTTATGAAAGAGACAGAAAGAGAGAGAGAAAGCACCCATTATGGTGTGTGGTCACAGTGCAATCCTTTCTCCTCCATTTCTCCCTCCTTTTGGGATTATGGGCACATGTACACATGGACCTGGTGTGCTTTTCAATCCACTATGTCTGGGGCTCAAACTACATGGTTAGCCATGTAGGATCCAGCTCTCTTAACCACCAGGCTCAGACTTGTAAGGATTTATAGCTTTTTTAAAAATATTATCACAGATACATTCTTTTAAAAGCCAAATTTGTTTTTAAAAAATTAAATCTGAGGCCAGCAGGTGGTATAGTGGTTAAGGTGCTAGACTCTCACATAGCCAAATGCAGTTTGAGTTCTGGACCTGGCAGCTTGAAACTCATGCTGAGCATAATGTGCATGTATGCCCAAAATCTCAAGAGGAGAATGGAGAAGGGGTTGGAGAGTGGCCATTCCACCTGGAGGGTAATTTCTCACTTCCTGTCTTTCTGTCTCTGTGTCTCCAGTGAGCACATGTGACCGACTATGTGGTTCTACTCTCAAAAATCACACTGGGCATTTGTGCATGTATGCCAATATCCCAGGAGGAGACTGGAGAAAAAGGAATGTTTCCTAATTTTCTCTCTCTTAGTCTTTCTCTAGTAAACAGATGCATTCCTTGGCAAATTAAAAATATGTATACCGGGATAAGCAGTTGGCGTAATGGCTATGTTGCTGGACTCCCATGTAGTCGATCATGGATCAAGACTCGGACCCTGTTGCTTAAACTCACGCTGGGTGTGTGTACGTGCATGCCCAAGAATCAATGTTTCCTAATTTTCTCTCTCTTAGTCTTTCTCTAGTAAACAGATGCATTCCTTGGCAAATTAAAAATATGTATACCGGGATAAGCAGTTGGCGTAATGGCTATGTTGCTGGACTCCCATGTAGTCGATCATGGATCAAGACTCGGACCCTGTTGCTTAAACTCACGCTGGGTGTGTGTACGTGCATGCCCAAGAATCGAGAGGAGAATAAGGAGAAGGGATTGCTGCGTGGCCATCTGCCCTGGGGAGCAATTTCTTGCTTTCTGTGTCTCTCTCTTTTTTTTTTTTTTGAGGGGTTTTTGCTATAGGGCGCGTGCGCTCGCCAGACAGAGAGAGACAAAGAGACAGAAAGTGAGAAATCATCCCCCAGAGGGGATGGCCACACCGCAATCCCTTCTCCTCTTGGGATCTTGGGCATACGTGCACACACACCCAGCGTGAGTTTAATCCACCGGGTCTGGGACTCAAACCGCAGTCGACATGGGAGTTCAGCGACATAGCCATTATGCTAACTGCTGGTCCCACTTTCTGTGTCTCTTTCTGGTGAGCGCACGCACCCTAAAGCAAAAACCTCTCCAAAAACAAAATATGCATAATATATATAAAATCACATTTTCCATCAATACTAATTGAATCTCAGAAAACTGGCAATCTAAGGATGTAGAACAACTGGAATTATAGTACATTGAGAATGCAAAATGGTACAGTCACTTTGGAAACAGTTTGACATTTTTTTTGAGAGATTTTTGCTATAGGTCATGTGTGCTCACCTGACAGTCAGTCAGAAAGCAAGAAATCGCACCACAATCTCTTCTCCTTCATTCTCCTCTCAAGACTTTGAGCACACACACACACACATACCCAGCATGAGTTTTAAACCACTGGGTCCAAGACTTGAGCCGCAGGTGACTACTTAAGAGTCCAGCAACATAACCATTATGCCATCTGCTGGACCTGTGACAGTTTCTTATACAACTGCACAGTTACCCACCAAATCAAAAGAAAAAAGGATTTCATGTAACACAGTATCAGAAAGTAAAAGAAGAGCTAATTCTGTGACCTGGTAGTTTAGTCCGCCAGATCCCATGTGACTAACTTCATAGTTTGAATCCCAGACCTGGCAGCTTAAAAAATATGCTGGGTACTTGTGTATGTGTACCCAAAATCCTCAAAGGAGAGGAAAACGGTGAAGAAGGAATTGTGATGTGACCACTTCTCATAGGAGGTAGTTTCTCCTTTTTCTCTGTTTCTCTGTCTCTCTCTGGCAACTGCACATACTCTCCAGTCAAAAACAAAGCAGAAGGAACGCACTGTCTGCACAAATGAATGACAGCTAAGTCCACAGCCTTTTGTGATAGGTTCTCTTAGCATCAATATCACTAATACTGTGCTCTGTAACAGAATCACCAATATTGTGATCAGTGACACTACTTAATAATGTTGTGATCTAATAGGTGTTTATCCAAGACAGAAACATATGCCAACTCAGAAATTAGTTGGTACACAGATAATTAGCTTTATTCATAATTGCCAAAATTTGAAACAAACCCCCATTTAGTAAATACATATATAAACTGGTACATCTGTACAGTGACATACTAAGGAAAAAAGGAACAAACTGCTCATATGTGCAACAGTGTATTAATAGATGAATCTCAACTGTGTTACACTTAGTGGAAGAAGCCAGGCTCAAAAGATTATGTATTATTTTACTTATATGATATTCTGGAAAAGGCAAAACTAAAGGAATATAAATCAAATCCATATTTACCAAAAAATTGTGGTAAAACTAGTCAGTCACCTTGGTCAGGAGACTACCATGTGCCTATCTAGAAGCCTCAGGTAAGATCCTATCTTAATCACATGGATTGAGCTGGGAAGAGATAGTTGGTTTCCCTAAGGAATACTGAATGCTATTCTCAGAAGAGACAAGCAAAAGCAATAGATGTTCACTGCTCTCATGCCAAAGCAGGAGGAGACAGAGCACTCACTACTTTCTTTCCAAACCAGAGACACTGTCCATAAGCAACTAACTAGGAGTTCTGATAGGGCTTCCTAAGTAAAATTAAACAATGTCTTTTAGATTCTCCTGTATGACATGCTCATTTTAGTCTGTAAGTTGTTTTATATGGTAGAGTTCCAATTGGAATAGTAAAGTGTACCTGTTTTTTGTTTACCTGCTGTACAGGTTATAATTAAGGATAATAGTCTAGTGCTGACACCATCACATGTCAAAGCCTACATGTTGATGACTCTTCAAGGGTTAGAATATTTACATCAACACTGGATCCTGCATAGGGTAAGATTTTTCATATTGATTCTTTTTTAAAGAATTATTTTATTGAACTTTATTTTATTTACTTATTTAACTTGACCAAATGGACGAGGAGGGGGAATGAGAAAGCAAGCCTCCAGGTCCAGGACTCGAACCACAATGTGGAGTCCAGCACCCTTAACCACCATGCCACCTGCCTGCCCCATACTGATTCTTTATGACAGTCAAGTTTTATATGGCCAGTTTACCACATGGTGGTCTGAATATGTAAATTGTTGAACAAAATAAAGATGCATCTGGACTGTTTTAACCCATTTTCTTCTATGTGGTTTCCTTCAGTTGTTCCAAATTACTGTGTAAAATTTAGAACTGGAGGATATTCAGTCTTACGTTGCTGAGTGATCTAAGACTATATTTTTATTCAAAATCAGCAGTTTGTAACTGACAGGGTATTAGAATCTATGTCTTTGAGCTTTAGGTTCAGTGTTTGTGCTAATCTGTTGTTATGGGAAAAAAATACATCAAGAGTTTAGATTAATTTAAGCAATGCTGAAGTAACTTTAGAAAAGTAGTGTTTTTGGTTGCTCTGAAAGTTGATGGAATTATGAAATATAATTTACAAATAAATTATTTTTAGGGATATTCAGCAGTTAGAAAAAGGGTGATAATTTAGGCAAGTGTTCTTAGGTAACAGGGCTGATAATTTAGATAGCTGTTCTTAGGTATCATGTTTAGATAAATAGCTAAGAATTTATAACTTAGAATTAGTAATTCTCATATATTAAATTTGGAATCTTATCTGTTATTGCTGAAATTTTATATATGTATATATACATAATACATTGTATATTTATGTATATATGCATACATAAAATATATTTATATATTATATACATTTTATATTTATGTTTGTATTTATATATAAATTATATACATGTGTATGTGTGGTCGCCAGAGAGACAGACAGAGAAAGAGAAGTGAGAAAACACTCCTCATAGGGGACCATCACACCAGCATCTTTATTTGTCCATTTTTTTTTTTTTTCAGGATTTTGGGTGTTTATGCACACACACGAACCTGGCATGTTTTATAAGCCTGTGGGTACCAGAATCAGCCACACAATGGGCCCTATGGGATCCAACTGCCTTAACAATTTGCCGCCTGCTGGCCCACTAATACATCTCTGTCACACAAGTTTTTTGTTTTTGTTTGTTTGTTTTTAACTACAGAGGGGAAAAGAAGAATGGAAATAGGCATTCTTTTGATAGAGTCTTGCAGTGCTGTGTCCACTGTGTTCATGTTGGCCCAGGAACTGAACCTGTGTGCCACCACCACTGGTCCTAGCTTAAATTCTGAAGAATATGTTTCTCATTCTTCTTAAATATGTAATCTTTTACTTACTGAAGTTCATGTTTATTATTAGATTAATAGTAGTCACTATTTATTGGGTGTTAACTAGTAGCCCATCATTAGAAAAGACTAAATTTAATCCTCACAGCAACACCATGAAGCAGTCAAGGTGAGACTCATTGAACTTTATTACCTTATCCAGGTTCTCACTAAATAACTAATCTTACTTTGCTTTGATAGGATTTTCCGTCATTGGAAAAAATACTGGTTTAAATTTTGAATGTTACTTTGTTATTGCTAAGTTTGAAAATAAGCCATGGGCCAGCTGGTTAAGGTGACTATGACTGTCCCATATGACTGACTACATGGTTTGAGTCTCTGACCCAATGGCTTGAGAATCATACTGTGAGCATGTGTATACATCTCCGAATCTCTAGAGGAGAATGGAGAAGGGATTGTGGCTTGACCATTCCCTAGGAGGAATGCTTTTTCACTTTCCCTTTCTCTCTGTTTCTCTGTGGCAAGCTCATGTGCCTTATAGCACAAGGGGGAAAAAAAGAGCTAACTATATGTAGCACCATGGTATTTCCTCCACATTGCTTATTTATTTGTTTAAAACCTCCATGATAACAGGATTTGAAACCAAACAACTTGTTGCTTGATGAAAATGGAGTTTTAAAACTGGCAGATTTTGGCCTGGCCAAATCATTTGGAAGCCCCAATAGAGCTTATACACATCAGGTTGTAACCAGGTAAGAATCCCTTAAATAATAGAAAGCTTGTTATGTGGGATATTCACAAGTCCACATCAACTGTCTTCTCTGAAATATCTTGGCAGAGTTCAGTAATCTTTATTTCTTAAAAATACAGCCCTTGGGGCCAGATGGTAGCACAGTGGTAATGCTCCTATCTGCAAGGCCACATTGGGTGGTTCCCAGTTCATATCTTGGGCCTGCCTGCATGAAGCTGGAGCAGATTACAACATAAGAACCTGTGGTTGGGGGTACGTGTCTTTCTTGTTTCTCTCGTGGGAAAAAAGAAATGAGTAAACATAAGAAATGCAGCTCTTTTAAGTTAGGTATATATATATATTTTTTTAATTATTTATTCATATATATATATATATACTTTTTTTTCTTTTGAGAGGTTTTTGCTATAGGGTGCGTACGCTTGCCAGAAAGATAGAGACAGAGACAGAAAGCAAGAAGTCATGCCCCAAGGGGGATGGCCATGCCACAGTCCCTTCTCCATTCTCCTCTCAGAATTTTGGGCATGTACACACATGTGCCTGGCGTGAGTTTAAGCCACTGGGTCCGGGACTCAAACAGCGGTCAACTACATGGGAGTCCAGAGGCATAGCTATTATGCCAACTGCTGGTCCCAGTTATGTATATTTTAAACTATAATGAAAAACGCTCAGTTTTTCTTTCAAGCAGAGCCAAATAATCAATCCTCATTTGGTAACTTTGAGGAATAATTTAAACTTTTATATTTTAGTTAGAAAAGCTAGAATACCGATGGTTCTTCTACCTAATCACCTAATTTATTGGGCCTATGTTTGTTACATTGGCCAGTATATTCAGAATAGCATATTCTTCTATGTGAATGAAAATTTTCCAAATAAGCAGTGTATTTATTTTTGAATATTTCATATTCTTAGCAGTTATGTTTTCTATGTATACTTTTCATGTATAAAAACAGAAAATCACATTAAATAGATAGAGACAATAGATTTTATAATTCTCTTAAGGATGGCATTTTTTGTTTTAGTTTTGAGCACTTTTATTTTTGAAGATTTTTTTTTAATATTTTATATTTTTATATTTATAGATTTTTTGCTATAGGGTGCATGCATTCAGTAGAAATACGAGAGAGAAAGTGAGAAATCACCCCTGAGAGGGAATGGCCACACTGCAGTCCCTTAATTCCTTCTTTACTCTCCTTGGATCCTGGACGTGCATGCACATGCTCCCGGTGTAAATTTCTTTTTTTTTCTTTTAAGATTTATTTAATTTTTTTATATCACTGTTATTATTATTATTTTAAATTTGCTATAAGGCACGCATGCTCACCAGAGAAAGGGAGAGCAAGAGTAAGAGCAAGAAAGTGAGAAAGCAAGCCACCAGTTCTAGGACTCGAACCTCAGTCAGCCATGTGGGAGTCTGGTATCTTAACCACCACATCACCTGCTGTCCCCCCACTCCCATTTGTTTCAAGCTGCTGAGTCTGGGACTCCAATCATGGTGAGCCACCTGTGAGTCAGCACCTTAAACACTATACCACCTACTGGCCTTAAGTTTCCAGAACTTTTAAGGGTCTGTAAAGATGGTCAGATTTTTTGTTTTAAATTATTTTGTCGCTTTTTTCCATATACATCCTATTGAGTGTTAATCACTGAGCCCTGAGTAAGACTTAGGGGATGTGAGTGGTTGTTCACGTAATTGCTAGAACAATTGAGCCCATCATTCAGGAATTCTTAAAAACAGGGACCCACATAAAAGAGCTTTATATTTTGGTGATTGCTTATCTACCAGCTTCTCTTGTTTTTTCTTCCTGCAAATCACTTGCTGGTAATAGATGAGGACTTTGGGGCCAGCCAGTAGCATGCATGGTGCTTAAGGCAGCTGGATCTGACTTAAGTTTGAATTCTGCTCCCAGTGGCTTGAGAAACACACCAGATACATGTGTGCACACCCAGAGATCCCAAAAGAAGAGAGAAATGGAAGAGAAGGGATTGTAACCTTATCATTTTACTTGGGGAGATGCTTTTTTTTTTTTTTTTTTTTTTTTGGGGGGGGAGGTTTTGCTATAGGATGTGTGGGCTCGCTAGAAAGACAGAGAGAGACAGAAAGTGAGAAATCACCCCCCAGGGCGGATGGCCACGCTGCAATCCCTTCTCCATTCTCCTCTCGGGATCTTGGGCATGCATGCACACACACCCAGCGTGAGTTTAAGCCACCAGATCTAGGACACGAACCGCGGTCAACTACATGGGAGTACAGCGACATAACCATTAAGCTAACTGCTGGTCCCAGGGGAGGTGCTTTCTTTACCCTCCCCTAGTGCACACATCTTCTGACAAATTTTAAAAAAATAATAATTTGAGAATCAACAATGGATTCAGCAGTATGAACATCTTTAGTAACCTTGACAAGACCAGTTTTGGTAGTGGTGGAGATGAAAGCCTGATTAAGAAGGTGTTAAAGGACCAGCAGATGACATAATGGCTACATTGCTGGACTTCCACATAGTTGACCATGGTTTAAGTCCTGGGGATGGTGACTTGAACCTCATGCTGGGCACATATACATACATGCCCAAAATCCTAAGGGGAGAATGGATTGCTGCATGGCCATCCCCCCCGGACTGTGTGTGATATCTCACTTTCTCTCTTTCTCTGTCTGGCAAGTGCACATGCCCTGTAGCAAAAAATCTCTTTTTAAAAAAAGGGGAGGGGGGCTGGCAGGTGGTGTGGTGTTAAGGTATTGAACTCCCACATGGCCAACCATGGTTCAAGCCTCGGACCTGGAGGCGTACTCTTTCACTTTCTCTCTTTTTTCTTCTGTCAAATTAAATAATAGTAACAGCAAATAAATATATATATTTTAAAGGAGAGCATGAGAGATGGAGAGGCTGAGAGAAGAGGAATTGGGGACAATAAGGATAGGCAACTCTTGGAACCAGCCAGAGAAATGAGGAGGTAGTTGTTGGGAAGAAGTTTAAGAGAAGCCTAAGGCTGAGAAATAATGGTATGATTGAGGGGCCAGCAGTTAGTGTAATGGCTATGTCACTGGACTCCCATGTAGCTGACCACGGTTTGAGTCCTGGACCTGGTGGCTTAAACTCACACCGGGTGCATGTGTGTGTGTGCCCAAGATCCCGAGAGGAGAGTGGAGTAGAAGGGATTGCAGCGTGGCCATCCCCCCTGGGGGATGATTTCTCACTTTCTATCTCTCTCTCTCTCTCTTTCTGGTGAGCGCACATGCCCTATAGCAAAAACCTCCCCCCCCCCAAAAAAAATAAAAGGTATGTTTGTACATTGATGGGAAAGATCTAGTAGAAAACAAAAGACTGATGAGACAGGAGGAAAGACAGGATTGCAAGAATGCTATTCTTGTATTTGGCCAAGAAATTATGGTATCTAGTGCTTAAGGAGAAAGATTATCTGTAAAAATGGGCAAAAATATTTCTTCTCAAAGAAATGCTTTAATAATTTTATTCTGAAATGGTAATAATGCTTTTTGTTCTTCAGGTGGTATCGAGCCCCTGAGTTATTGTTTGGAGCTAGGATGTATGGTGTGGGTGTGGACATGTGGGCTGTTGGCTGTATATTAGCAGAGCTGCTTCTAAGGGTAAGTCTTAAACTCATATGCATACTTCGCTACTCTTTCAGTTATGTGTTACTGTACTTTGTGTAAGAGTTATCTTCCCACCTGTATTATTGCAACAAAAAAGCATACAAACATGTCAGCCATTGTCTAGTGGGTTCATGAGCTAGATATGACATGGCCAACCATGTGGCCTGTGCAGCTTGAAAAACACTCCAGATGTGTGTGTATGCTTGCTGCCCAAAATTATGAAAGGAGGGAGGGATGAAGGAGAAAGGTGGCATGACCATATCCCGCTGGGGCAGGGAAGTGCTTTATCTCCCTTTCTCTTAGGTCTCTCTCTGGCAAGTGCGTAAGTGCGTGCGCTCTGGCAAATGTTTTAAAAAAAGAAAGCCTACAAACACAAGAGGAAAAAAATTCCACTCAAATGCAACCTTTTTCTTTTTTGATAGTTTTTTTTTCTTTTTTCTTTTCTTTCTTTCTTTTTTGTATAAGGAATGTGCGCTTGCTGGAGAGAGAGAGACAGGAAGAGAGAAATCACCCCCCAGGGGGTTGGCCTCTCCACAATCTCCTTCATTCTCCTCTTAGGATTTTGGGCAGACACGCACCCAGCATGAGTTTCAAGTCTCTAGGTCCAGGACTCAAAAACCTCAGTCAGCCATATGGGAGTCCAATGATGTAACCACTATGCCATCTGCTGGCCCCAACATTTTCAATTTTAATGTGAGATGAGAAGATCACTCATTTATAATAAGGATTTTATTATATACATAGTAGTACTTCAGAACATAAAAATTAACTTCTTATATGATAGTATCTCAATAGTATCTAAATGTGTCAGGATGTTTTATCCTCCGGTTGGGTTTTCTCTTTTGGGCTCACCACCTTAACCACCATGCCACCTGCTGACTCCCTGCTGTATAAGGTTTAAAGTTTGTGTGAGACCATCATTTTTAGTTTGGTTTAAATAAAGCAGACATGTTGATGCTAGTATTTCTTAGACTGAGACCATCTTACCATAAAATATCTCCTCATCCTCACTGGAGAAAAAGATGCTGACTTGAAAACTTCATTTTGACTGTAAAGCTTAAATCTCCAGAAAATCTAACCTTTAAAGAAATGTGAACCCAGGATTAAATAGCCTTTTTTTTTTTTTTTTTTAGAGTTTTTTGCTATAGGGTGAGTATGCTTACCAGAGAGACAGAAAGTGAGAAATCACCCCCAGGGGGGATGGCCACTCCACAATCCCTCCTCTTGGAGGAGATCTCTGGGCCTCGAACCGTAGCCGACTACATGGGAGTCCAACGACATAGCCATTACACCAACTGCTGGTCCAGTGTTAGGTGGCTTTTGTATTCCCTTTAACACAGAAAATAACTTCTATACACCAAAGAGAAAATTGTAGTAAACTAAAGACAAACTGAAACAAAAGGAACATGGGAAAATAGAAATAAGCACAGAAAAGGAAAATTCATCACTACGTTTTTCAAATCTTCAAAGACCTAAGAGATTCATTTTATAAAACAAACACCCAGTTTTTGTTTTTGTTTTTGCCAGAGGGCATGTGTACTTTCCAGAGAGAGGAGACAGAGAGGAGAGAGAGAAAGTACTTTCAGTGGGGTGTGGTCATGCTTCACTGCCTTTTCCATTTCTCCATCCTGTCAGTATTGGGCATGTACACAAATGTCCAGCATGTCTTTTAAGCTGCTGGCACCAAGATCACAAAGCCTTTTTTTTTTTTAAAGATTTTTTGACGTAAAAATTTTCTAAGAAATTGTTTAAATAAGATTGGAATATAGGTGTATTTTCTTCCCTCCCAGCCTTTGCACCTGCTGGAATAGTTTTCTTCTTGCCCATTTTCCTCTAGTTAACTCCTGTTTGTACATCACCTTCATGCCACTTTCTTTAGGAAACCTTCCCTGATGTACCT